AATTATTACTGCTGCTGCTACTGCTATCACTACTAATACTACTGCTACTACTACTATCATCATCATCATCATCATCATCATCATCATCATCATCTTCACCATTGCTATCACTATCATAACGATGATGGTAAAGGTAATGACAATAATAAAAATAACAATATCAATACTCATCATCACTATGACTATAACCATCACCACAGCCACCATTACTATCACTAAGGCTAAAAAGTACTATGAGAAAAAAAAAAAAAAAAAAAAAAAAAACATTTACAAGTAAACACAAGAGCCAAAACTTTCTCATATACTTACAATTCTCATACAAAGCGAAGTCACTAGACTTTTTATTTTTATTTTTTATTTACATCACTTGGACGAGACATCATTAGTGTTAAAGTGCGTGACTGGAGAGAATTCACTATGCTACTCTCAAGAAAATGGATAAACAATTTAGAAGTCCAATCAATCAGGAATTGAATGCGCTGGTGATTTCTCGCAACTACCTGGGACAGTGAGGCACAACACGAGAGAGAAAAAAAATAACAATTGTTAGTTTGTTTGTTTTTTTTTTATAGTTTCTACTCAAACTTAACATTTTATCTGTGTCTGTTTTATTATTATTATTATTATTTCTAGGACGTGAGGATGAAAAGGACACATAACTACAACAGAACTAGTGCTCACTGAACAACTCACGGAACAAGTACGGTGCCTATGAACAAAACCACAGCTCTACGCTCTCCTATTCTCATAACCGACGTGACCCCAGACATGTCGTGGGGGGAGAGGGGAGAGGGGAGGTGGGAGGGGGGGGGGGGGGGGGTCGTGAAAAACAGACAAGACTGCGACACATCTCAATCTACGGGCGCTACCTCTGAGTGCACTTTTTTGCTCACCTCACTCTTTCCGAGCACCTTGTCGAGACTTGGCGTTCCCAGAAACTACGATCCAATGCATACCTCATAATCTTGATCTGGTAAGGAAGAAGCCAACATCAATCCAAGGGTGAATGTG